TGGTGAATTAATGGTGAAAGATGATTAATTGGAGAAGATGAAGTTTAGAGAGAAAAATAAAGATTATTAGAGAGAGAGTAAATGAGAAGAAACTCATAAATTGACATTAATCGCATACTAAAACATTATTACAAGAGAGAGTATTTATAATGTGCTAAAAAATCAACACAAAACAAAACACACAAAATTGCTTTTGTCAGCAAACCAGAAAACTAAAATTCGCGGCAGAAACCGGTTTCCATAAATGAGGAAACCGGTTTCCTCTTCAAAAATTCCAATTCCAGCAAAGACACAAAACAACTTTTCAAATAAGTTGTTTTCCCAAAACAGCTTTCAGAGGCTTCCAAACAACATTTGACTTATTCTAAACATCCAATACACCACCTTAAGTCAAATGCTCAACATTCTTCATGCTTAAACTCCTCACAAGCTTCTTGAACACATCATTTGTCACACCTTTCGTCAACAAATCTGCAAGTTGTTCTTCACTTCGATAGTATCCTAACTTCAACTGGCCTTCACATACCAATTCCCTCAAGTAATAAAGTCTCATTTCTATATGCTTGCTCCTCCCATGTGCAATGGGATTCCTTGCAAGGTTAATAGCTGAAATATTGTCAACCAAGAGCGTAACAACTTTTTCTTCATTGCTGCTCAGCTCCCTTAGCAGATTCATAAGCCCCACAGCCTAACACGCACACACCGATGCATCGATATACTCAGCCTCACAAGAAGAGAGTGCAACCACAAGTTCCTTTTTAGAGCACCAAGAGATTGAAGCTCTGTCGAACATTAAGACATAACCAGTCGTAGACTTTCGATCATCCTTATCTCTGCATCAATTGGAATTCGTATAACCGAGTAACTCGCAATTTCTGCCCGTATTAGTTGCGGGAAAGAGAATTCCACGGCCAAGAGTTTCTTTGATGTATCTTAGGATCCTCTTAACTGCTGCTAAATGAGAAACCTTTGGTTTCTTCGTGAATCTACTTGCAATATCGACACTAAACGCCAAATTTGGCCGCGTATTACACAAGTAACGCAATGACCAAATCAACCTCCTATATTGAGTTGGATCCACATCTTGCTCATCCTCACTTTTGGAAAGTTGTAACCTTGCTTCAGTCGGTGTTATGGCAACATTACAATGCTCCATATCACACTTTTTCAAAATCTCAAGAGCATACTATCTGTGATGCATAAGCAGCCCCAATTTTGACTTATGGAACTCTATGCCAAGAAAGTAAGTCATGATTCCAAGGTCACTCATTTCAAACTCTTCCATAAACTCACTCTTGAACTTAGAAATATTCACTTCATTGTTGCCCGTAATTAATAAGTCATCCACATATAAGAAAAGTATAATCACTTATTTGTTTGCATCCGTCTTCACATAAATACAATGTTCGGATACACACTTCTTGAAGCTAACCTCAACTAGAAATGCATTTATGTGTTTGTTCCAAGCCCACTTTTTTCTTCTTCATACCCATCTGAATAGTTTACAACACCAAGCCCACTTTTTTTTTTCATTTATTTTCTGATTACATAAAATCTGTTTGGACCTAACATAAAAAAACTATTTTACTTACTAACCCCTTAATTCATTTGCAGACCCCCCTGACCCTTTAATTCATATTTTCATTTTATTTTATTTTCTTTCTTTTATTTTATTTTTTATTATTATTATTTCTAGTTAAAAATACCAATATATATATATATATATATATATATATATATATATATATATATATATATATATATATATATATATATATATATATATATATATATATATATATATATATATATATATATATATATATATATATATATATATATATATATATATATATATATATATATATATATATATATATATATATATATATATATATAAATACTTAGATTAAATATCTTAATATCTTTATTTCATTTCTTTTAAACAAAAACCCTAAAAAATATATATCTTCTCTCTTAAATTAATTAAAATAAATTTATACTTAGATTTTGTTTTAATTTGTCCTTTTAAATTAAGTTAACTTAGAAGTTAAGAATTTAATTAATTAACTTCTTTCTTTAATTAATTAGGTTAATTTTAAAATCTTTTCATAACAAAACCATAAAAAACAATTTTCTTCTCTTTTACACTATCTTTATATTCTTGTACATTTTACATTCTATTATTCAATATGGTTGTAATAGTAATTAGGTTTTCATTGCTTTCATCCCCATTTGTAATTTGTATCCCCCTCCCCTAACGTATTGTAATAGCGTAGGATTTTAAATTTCTGCAATTTACCGCTTTCAATATTATTGCTAGTAATTAGGGTTTGTATGACAAGACTAAAATCAAGCAAGTAGACAACCCTAATTCAAGACAATTTGCACGAAAACAATACACTTTGCACACTTGCACCTCTAAGGTTAACCCACACTTGTTGCCTTAAAATAAAACAGTCATGTCCCTCGAATGTGGAATACTTTAGCAAAGACCTTCAATTATAAGATCGTAGTCCCTCGACGACCCTTTGACGTTGCCTTCGGTAAACGATCTTAGTCCCTTATGACAAATTGCTAAGGTATCCTACAATGTTATCTTCTATGATTGTACGATGACCCACGCCCATCCCTTCACATTCAATGATATGGTTGCTTACTAATTAATGGTAAGATAACATTATCTAAAGAAGGAGGAAAAGAACAAAGACTTTTGAGTAGGTAGAACGCTCATAGTTGCTTGCTCACAAACATTCCAAAACAAAACATATTTCAAACTCACCAACACTTTTCAATGAAATATTTTCAAAAGTCAACACTTTGTATATATTTTTATAGAGACGAGAATCATTACAAAGTTCGCCTAAACAAAGGCACTTTTCAAAAAATACTTTCAAAAATAAATCACAAGCACATTTACAAAACATTTCAAAGTGAAAAGGGTGCTAACACCTTCCCTTTTCATAACCTACCTCCGAACTCAAGAAAATTTTCAAAAGGTCTTTCCTGTTCTTTTCACTCTTTCCTTTATTGGATAAAAGAAAAGTCGGTGACGACTCTTGCTATCCGCAATTGACCGTATTACAATTGACATCTCACATTTGTCTACTTCAAAGGCAAAAGCTCTTCTCTTGAATTTAAGGTCACAGATAACACCCCTCTTTGTCGATCTGAAACCCAAACTAGAGAATCTCTTACGATACCCAGATAATCAAAGAGTTTTGAAGCTCAATTATCATACACTTTCGATTGGCAATAAAGGAAAGATACAATTTAACAAGTTTGAGCTGAAGACGGATGAAGACTTAAGACTTATGTGAAGTACAATTCACTGTTACGAAAAAATTGCCTGATCGAGAAGGATGTGATGGTTGCGAGATCGACCAATAATATTCTAAAGATGTTGAAACGTCTTCAACCATCTCTTAATGATGAAATGTAATGTTAGTTTTAAGTTAATGAAATTTTTGTAATGTTACGTATTTTATAAATGTCAACAGAAAGATTTATGTTAATTTATGTTATTCTTTCCATTTTTGCAATTACTTATAATTTGTGGTAACAAGAAAGATTCTGAATTTTAATATTCAGACAATCCTTGAGCATGATGAAAAATTGAGTTTGAGAAAGAGTTGGGTATTGGTAAATTTGGATTTTTAAAATCTAAATATGAAAATGATGATGCAAATAAACTTGAGATCGATGCTTTTTATTTTTGGCAGGATTGGTTTACCGCTCAACAAGCTAAAGAGAATGTGATCGTGGTGCACCATCCTTTGACGTGGATAGCTCTTGCGGAAGCGTGGGTTAAGTACAATGTTCATTTCGGGTTTAATAGTCGAAGAGAAACAACTAATAGGGGCTGGTGTGTACGTGATAATCTTGATAGATTCATTTCTGTAGGTGTGACTTGGGATGTTGGTACTTATTCTATCTTGGATGCGGAGGCGTTAGCGCTTAAAGAAGTTATTCTTGGTGCTATATCTTTGGATTTGTATAATGTCATTTTTGAAAGTGATTCTCAAATAGTAGTTTAAACTATTCGATTTAACCATATGGGTAGCTCTGAACTTAATATAATTATTACTTCTTTACATTCGATCTAATCATATGGGTAGCTCTGAACTTAATATAATTATTACTTCTTTACACAAATTTGTTGCACTTTTATCCAAGCTTTGAGGTTAAATTTGTCAAACGCCAAACAAATTTGATTGCCCACTCATTAGCGAAGGCCTTCAATTCTTGATCTCGACATAGTATCTTTCATGTAATTCCTTCTTATAAATATGTTTTTACATATATTTTACAAAAATATGAAAGTTTGACATTTTTGAATGCGTCCAAACATTAAAATCTGATATTATTGAATTTTCTTCGTGCTGGGTGAGCTAACACATAGGGTGGGAAGAACAACAGATCCCAAAAACTAAGAGAATCAAAGATCCCAAAAACTCATAGTAAGCACACCAGACAATTGAACTATATTTTTACCTATAGAATAAACTAACTAAAACACGAACTCTTATGCATCATATTGCGAATTAACTTTGTGCTTTAAATATATTAAACAGGGTATGATTTATAGTTGTGGAACCTTTACGACCTCTCAAACGCAAAACGAAATAAGCTCGATAGGAATAGAAATAAAATGCATAACTGCATATACATGTGAATCCATGTCTAATGACCAAAATGTTCTTATGCTTTAATGATCGTCTTCAGTAAAGAAACGTCAACCCCTGGCAAGCAACAATGCAAGCGGGACTGGCTGTTATTCTGAGTTACTTGGCTGAACTCGTCTATTCTAGTAGCATTTATAAAAGAAATTTCTAAGACTAAACATTACCGCAACTACTACTCATCTCAAAGAAGGCTTTGACATACTATATGTAAGCAGAAAACTCTACTTAAATCAAATTGTCCGCATAGAAATAATAGGATCTTCGCTTTTAGATTTAGGAAAGCTCTCGGATGCTATAGGATCCTCATCTATAGAATTAGGAAAGCTCTCGGCTGCGTTTAGCAGCAGCAACAACAGCATTCATCAGTGTTCCACGGAAACCCGCTTTTTCCAACTCATGAACGCCTGCAATTGTTGTCCCGCCAGGAGAAGTGACATCATCCTTGAGCTGTCCTGGATGCTTCCCACTAAGGGTTGCCATTGATGCTGCTCCTAGTACCTGGAAAGCACAAATACATTAGTCAAGAGAACAAATATATATAAGAAGAAAGATGTTTCAATACAGGTAAGGTATGAAGATGTTTAGCCTCCTACAACAGTAAGTCCAGTCTGATTCTTGCTGCCACATATTCAAGTAGCAGCAATTTCATTAAATGTAACCGTTTCCTTTTCTTAATTAGTCTTCCCTGGCGTACTACTATATGCCTATCTGTGGGTATATAAGTTCAACTAGATCGCTTAGATTCATTTTACATGTTGCTTGCTCACTCTGCACAGTAACCACAACAACATAGCTGAAACTACTTGAATTAAATTCCTTATTCATTATCGGATACCTTTATTAAGCATGGACACTTACACAAGACAGCTGATAAAACATTATAATAAACATTTCAGGGGCAGCCAGGGGCATGAGGCTCACACCAAGTAGGGTCTGAGAAGGGCAGAGTTACACAGTATGATTCTTGCAAGCGGAGAGGGTGTTTCCATTATTTTGAACTCATAACCTCTAGATCACAAAGCATCTATCTTACTATGGTGCCAAGACTCACCCTCTTCAACTTACTTAAAAGACAGGAGTTTTTAATCTTACAAATTGGGAATATTTTCCTATAAAATGTTGAAATGGTTTTACTCTTCAAACTGTTAAAAAAAAAGACAAATTGCAACATATTTATTTAATGCATCTCAAACTTTCATTTCTTTGAATCTGGCATTTTGACAAAATGGGTAAGAGTATAAGACAATTCCAGAGCAAGCATCACCCGAATTTTAGGCACAGTTAAATGGCCAAAAGAATAGTAATATTTCACTTACAGTCTGAGAAGCTAGACTTAATGCAAGATCACGTGGTAGACCAGCTGCTACTCCTCCATCAGCCAAAGCCTCTATGGCTAAATAAATATAAGCAGGACCACTGCCACTGAACAATTCAAGAAAATAGAACATATTTTAGTAAATAAAACAAACTTGCTTTAACTTGGGGTTTCCATGAATAATGCAGAATCTGTAGTGGTTGGCATAAATCAAACTCCCACGTACACACACGACCAAAACAAAGAAAAAAGACAATTATCACCTAACATAACATTTTCAGGTCCCAGACACTCTTCTTTTGTCTCTCAAATACATGAATAGCTAAGAATAAGATTTGTATGAGCATGACAGAACTAGTATCAAACCCTGTCCTTCTCCTCTGTCCTTGTACCACACCCTATCATCTCTTACTTCAGAACTTTTGTCCATCACAGATAAAATAAAATTTCTTGGGGTTTTGATATAGATCCCAAATATTATTCTTCCGTTGTATAAAATGAGATTTACATACCTTAGACCAGTTATAGCATCAAAAAATTTATCATCGGCTTTCCATATTTTGCCAATTGACCCAAATAATTGGGATATAAGATTCGCATCTTCTTCTGTTGCAGCTCCTCCTAAGCTCATAACTATTATAGTTTAGCTTAAGTTAGTTTATCCATACAGTACAACTTTGTAATTGTCAACAATGTAAATTGATAAGCAAAGAAATGCAATAAGTAATATCCATTGTACACTAGAAAAACACAATAATATACGAAATTATCATAATGAATAAGAGAAGGCATTCTTGATCTTGTGACTATTCACCCATACAACTTGTACATCCAAAGAAAAAAAACAAAACAAATGCCAAGACTACAAGATCAAACTTCTATAAATTTATACATCAAAGAATACATTCCACCCTTCATAAAAGTGAAGAGCAAAACCAATATCACGGACTATTATCATCAACCAATAGTAACTTATAAATTATGAAAGAGCCTCATTCATCAAACCCAAATCTTGAAGTGGATTTGTTTCAGTGTATGCAAATATATTTTCAGTAAAGTGTGAGATTAGGAATGTAACATTACATGCTTGGTCCAAGGAATGAAAAATGTATCCCAGGTATGATGGAACCCCATGAATATACCACTTTTTTTTTATGTTTCTTCTGTTTTACAATCACATCATGTAGGGCGGAATTTTATATTCCCATAGGGAATCAAAACCATTTTAAAATCTAACCAACTATAACATCCGACCTTCATCATATTCTACCATTTTAATTTATCTTTTATTTTATTAACATAACTAAATACAAATTTAAATATTTCAAGGTACATTTAACTTCGGAAAATTATTGGTGATAATAGTATTCCTAAAAGTCTCATTCCCAGATGTATGACTATAACTTGAAACAAGCCCCCTCTTGTAGCCATAATTAACAATTATCTCTTCTCATAGTAACCAATATAGATGCTTAATAGTGCACGCTGTTAATTTTAGAAAATCATACGATACAAATACTAAACACCGGTCAACTTTCAAATGCAGGGATAGACCCCAGAACACATTAAACACTAGATTATGTTAAAATTAAACAAGACGTCTATGAGACAACCTGCGATGCCAAAAGAGTGTTGAAAATATCCTGTCAATGATGATGAACTAGACAGCTGACAGGAGCAGACGAACAGTGGCAAACAAAGCGGGAAAGTATACAATTTTTACAGTATTTGTCTTTGTTAGTTAAACAATTTTTCTATTTAGAAGTTTAATAAAATTACGCTAAACAACTACATCTGCGCTATTAAGTTGCCCACCAGATTTTTCAAGAAAAACTCACAAAGCAATAACATGAATTATTACTGACAATTTAGAATTCAGAATGAAAACTATGGAACCAAGTGATTCGAGATAAGTCACACAACACATCGTCTAAACTCTCTACATAAAGAAAACATCTGAAGAAGAAAAATAATATGTTCTTTAGTGCAGCAAAAAATGGCAATACCTGATGCCGCCTGGCCAACTGCAGCAGGAGTATTAGGCATTACCCTTACAAATCTGTCGTGGCCAGCCCATTCCTACATTTTATGAAACAATTATTTCAATAAATATACGCAACCTAAGTAAATCTGTACAGCTCCAAAAAAGATTTACAGTTGAAGGGGGTATTTTGCCTACTGAATTGACCAACTCACTTAGCTTTTAGAAACCAAGAACCATTTGTTAGGTTATATTAATTTCCCAATATCAATATTACGCCATGGGTAAACAGTAACTTTCCATCAACTATTTTGGTCTGTTATGATAAAACGTATTTGACGAAATAAGTATCTCTATTATTGAGAAAAGAATAACAAATGACAAAACAAGAATTCTCTACAATCTCTTATTCTCTCTAACTCGACTATTTTGAATGATTTTGAATGAATACAACAGACCTATTTATACTAGAGAAAAATGCATATCAAGCTTCCGTTACAAGTGGTTATAAACAATATACCACAAATCAAGTGACGGGTGTAATTTATTACTAAATATGTAATCTATTCCAGCCACACAATTACTTCAGATAATAGCACACATAATGAAAAATGCTCTTCCATCAATGAAGTTCAAGCATTGTTTGAACTTAGTCAGTCTTGGAAGAAGTACTAGCAAATGACTTATAGAATTCAAGCCAAGGTAGAGAATTGTAGTGTGTGGCTTAAATAGATTACATACTTCGAAATAAATTACATTTGTCACTTGATTTGTGGTATATTGGTTATAACTATTCATAACATAAAGTAGATATGCATTTTTCTCTAATATAAATAGGCTTGTTGTATTCATTCAAAATAGTAGAGTTAAAGAGAATAAGAGATTGTAGAGAATTCTTGTTTTGTCATTTTTCTCTAATATCAATTTTACACATCCAGAATAGATTCAATCCAGAATCGATTCAAAGTGCTCCAACCTTGAAACCAAAAATCCAGTTAGGTTTATTAAATGCTATAAACACTTGTGTAAATGTTTGAACAAGCTAAGAAAAATAATTTATAATTCCTTATGATTGTTCATGAATTATTTTACAGCAGATAGACTATATATAACTTATATAAACAGATTAACCTGAAGCTTGTGTAGATTTAATAATAATGATAATAATAAATTCTACTCTATGATGCAGAAACGAAGGTGAAAATGATTGGATTCCATTACCTGAAGATCTTTCAACTTGATTCCAGCAGCAACAGAAACCAAAAGCTTGTCCTTAGTTAAAAGCGGCTTCAATTGCAACACAACCTCCTTCACTGCAAAAACAACAAAGCCAATCAATAAAACGACGACGTTTATTTCCCAAACAACTCTGAAATCGATGAAATACCTAATTGAGGTTTAACCGAGAAAACGACGACGTTGCTCGCACGAACGACCTAGAGAGAATGAATCGGGAAATGTTAAAATGAAAACGCAAATGTAATGAAGAGTAAAAGAGTTGAAATGGACTACGTCGTCGTTGGAAGAAAGCACGGTGATGCCGATGGACTCGAAGGCGGCTTTACGAGCGGGGTTAGAGTGAGCGGTTACGATGCGGGAAGGGGGTAAGACGCCGGAGCGGGAGGCGCCTTTGGCAATGCTCTCGGCCATTTTCCCGGCGCCGATGAAACCGAGAGTGTAGGAATCGGAGAGGATTTCCATGTTGAGTTACGTGACAGATGAAATGCTGTGTTTGTTTCAGCCAGTTGTTGGTGAAGTAGTGAAGTTGCCACACGGGATGGAATTTATAGTTTTTTCATTAGTCAGTTTATAGTTTTAATATTTATTTTGAAGACCTAACTTGTTTTCTTCATAGCCAAAAATACTATGAAATAGAACTCATCACTTTGACCAAACCCTTATATATATTTATCATAATTTTATTGAAAAATTATAAAAATTACGCCTAAAAAAATTGTATTTAAGTTTCCTTCAATTAAATAATCTTATTCATTTCTAAAAGGAATTAGTTTGAAAAAGGAGTTGAGATTTCAAATTTGACACCATCTAAAAAAACAGTTAAACTTAGTTTTTCTAAACAATGAGAGAGGAGAGAGAGTGGGGTGTGGGGAAAACGGTTGAGAGAGAAGAAAAAGAAAATCAATTTTCTCAAAACCAAGTTGAAGACGGTGGTGGATTGCAGTAAGTTTCAGATATGATGAGAAAATTCCTAGCTAGGGACATCACTAGTCACTTTCGGTTTAATTCTAATAAGTTATTCTCATTCTTTTTCACTTCTTTTCGGTTGAAGAGGTATTGATTCCTTCCATAAGAGATAAGAAAGGAAGAAGGTTCGGTTTTGCTAGGTTCCTCCATGTGAATAACGCTGATTTGCTAGCTATAAAACTTGATAATATTTTCATTGGACAAAAAAAAAATTAACATCCCAAAGTTTCAAAGGTCATTCCGGAGCTCCTATACAGGTGGTAGAGTTGAGTAGAAGATGTTCATACAAGTTCAAGGTTTGGATAAGGTTTGGATAAGGTCTTGAATATTGGTAAGGGTTTCTTTGGATAGAGGTATTAGTATGGGGAAATCTTATGTGTGTGTGATAGGTGTCTCTATAAGGGAGTTTAGTTTTATTGGTCCTTCGATAGAGTTTGAGGTTAAAGAAGATGACATTCAATCAAGATTCTCCAAAGAATATGTAGGTGTGGTGGTGCATGCTAGTTCTTCGTATAATATGCACTAAACTTAAAAGAGAAATCTTATGCTGTAAAAGATCAAATGTTTTTGGTGCTAGAAATGAAAGTGTCACAAGTAAATGATATGAATGTGTGTTGATTGTCGGAATACGTTTTTTCATGTTTGACAATTTTATTTGAACCGATTTTGAGAGTTATTTTCTCCATTGTAAAACCTTTAGTCTTCAGTCCCATCAGTGGAGAAATTTCAATCAAATTCACACAAGCATGTTTTCCTCTTATTCAACTATACACTAGAACATTTGTTGGTCTAAGTGTCGATCGTCCCTCATGTGGATCAGTCAAGAAATTCACAAGTGTCTCTTTCTTCACAGATACTTCAGTTCGTCAAATATATTAAACAAGATATCTCTAACAAGGTCATGTTGGTATTTAAAGCCTAGAAGCTCTCTACAATGGATCACATGTTTCCCAAATGTATCCAAACACGCCTTACGATAAATAGGACAAATTTCATCAATAAGAAATATAGGAATAATAAGGTGGTATCTTAGAATAGTACAATATTTCATTTGTGACATATGTTGGTTTAACCCATCAATAAAAATAGCAAGGAGAAAGTCCTGAGCATATGCGACTTGCAAACAACCAAAAATTATTTTTAATTAGGTTTTAATGAATAAGGACAAAAATTATTTATCCTGAGCAAGGACAAAAATTATTTTTTATTTAGTTATCATGTACACCCATGTCTTTAATAGTTCTACTAAAAAATGCATTCGTCAAAATATATTATACTTCATGAGAGACGGTATTTTTGCTAATAAAATTACTAGGATCAAAATCTGACCTCATAATCCTAACACCATCCAAAACTCTATCAAAATCTAAATTCGTATTATATAATATATTGTATCTCAATATATTATCATATAACACCGGAATATTAGATAATTAAATAGCATACCTAGATGATAATTTACAAACGATAATTTACATGTAGATGAAATAAATATATTCATCATAGACAGTGTAAACAACAACATACACAATAATTTTAAATAAAAAAATTTAAAGATCAATCGCATAAACTTTTATGTACTAAATAATTAAACTGTGAAAAAAGTTTAAAAGATTAATTTATTGTAGATACTTAATTTAAAAGATAAATGGATATGGATGTATGTCGCTAAAAATATATTTTAACCAACCAGTTTTCTTTATGGACTTAATTACTTAACCACTATGATGACGAGAACAAGTGGACCAATCCGTGGCCAAAAGCTTGTATGACTCATTGTTGTCATATTATATGAGTGACTCATTGAAAAAAGATATAGTACGTACATTTTGAAAAATGTAAAAAATCATCAAAAATAATTACGAGGAAAATTTCAAAATATAATATCTTTATTAGTGTGTAAAGATATCGAAGAGATAAACTTTAATTAAGATTAAGAAGGTCTATGGTGTGATTTAAATCGATTTTAAAATAAAAATTTATTTAATTTAAAAAAAGTTATTTGTGATTGATTTGATTTTAAATATTAATTTAAAAAATTAATATAATTCAATTTAATTTTATATGATTTGATTTAGATTTACTTTTAGATATTTAAATTACAAAGTATTTCATATTAACATCATTAAAATGTTAATAAATAATATATTTATATCGTATATAATACATTAAAAAACTCAATTAGATTTAAATTGATTTTAAAAAATCAATCTAAAATTCAACATAAATTGAGCGGTTTTTACAAAATAACACTTAGACATATTTAATAATATTTAATTTTTTATAATTTTTAATTTTTTTGCGATTTGAATTTGAACACCTCAAACTAAGATTACACACTAGAACTTGACACTATATTCATCACAATTGTTGGAATTAATTCAACACTATCGTATTTATCGGATGTAGTTTTAACTGTCGACGTTCATATATAAATGTGATTACGCATAAGATGAACATACAACTTTATCCATTATTGCAAATTAAAATCATTATGACTTCAATGACTTAACATTAGAGCGATAGTCACATGGATTTCTTGTTTAAATTTGAATTTGAGAATTATGCATTGAAATGACAAAAGTTTCACTTTCATGATTAGTATAGTGAATGATTATGAAAGTTGAGCTTTGAAAGTTGCATATATTACAAAGTTAATGCAGGAGAACGACCAAAGACTAACTCAAACAATTTCCCGAACAAACCAATCACTAACCAAACGAACAAAAAATGGGTAAGTTTTAAAGAATTTGCAATAATGAAATTTCACCAAGCGAACTATTCTACTTGCTAAATGAATTCATGAGATTTTAGTAACCTTAGATGATGAGTTGGTAGAAACTTAAATGAACTTAAGCTTGTGTGGTAAGTTTAATACTTCACAAGACAAATTTGGACAACTATAACACACCATGTGACACAACTAAAATAATATAGCATGAAAGCAAGGGTCTGCTTACTTACTGCAGAAGATAGAATAACGACATTGTATGATAAGAAGTTAGATAAGATTATGATATGATACTCATAAGATAACATTTATCCTATAATATGTATGGTATACATATGATAAGAAACATGATATTATTATTTTATTGTTTCAAGTGTTTGATGCACACTTGATTTTGATATAACAAGATATGTAGCCTATTCAAAATATAAAATTATTCTTATGAAACTAAAAAAAAAAAGTTTAAATGCAATTTTAGTCTTTCTATTTTTACAAAAATAAATTATTCATCCCTTCATTTAAAAAAACAGTTTTCTATCTCTTAAAATCAATATTTTTTGAATCCTAGAGCCCACTCTTTTTAAAGGTTAATTTTATTGATGTGATAGTGCTTAGATTGATAAATTTAAAATGCAAGTGAGACAATTTTATTTACTTGAGATCTTAAATTTGTCAAGAAGGTAAGAGGCCAAAAACACATAAATAAACAAAAATTGAAGGACTAAATAGCTATTTATAAAATGGAGGATCAAAACTTCTTCTTTTTTAAATACAAAAGTTTACTTTAGCAATTTTTTAAATTTAGTTTTGAAATATCTTTAATATTTATAAATTAACAAAAAAATTAAAATTATACAAAAAAAATTAGCTAGTTTTATTTTTAAAGATTCATAGGCAATATCAAATAAATTATTTTAATTTGTATCATAAATAGATAATTCTATTATATATGTTAGATAAGGTTGTGTGATGTCATAACAAATTTAAAAGACCTTTGACATATACTTAATAGGCTTGGTGGAGGTTTCCATCGCAGAGCTAAACAAGGATTGTAGGTTATACCCCCTCTGATGTCAAGTAACGGGACATTAGGGTACTCCCCGCAACGGTCAATAATAACAGTGTTTTTCATAACTCGGGAACATCAAAGAATATCCATGTGAGCAAGTGACATTATCCTTTGTGACCAACTCAAACCTTCTTCATTCTTCAATATGGACTTAGGGAGGTGAGAAATAAACCACCTCGACAACAATGACATGCAACACATAAGAACCGCTCTTCTCTTCATGATACGAGTATGAAGAGTGTGCAAAATATCTCCGAGCAAGGTAGGCACAAGGTTGCGGGAGAGGAAGATCTTGATAGCATTCACATCTATGAATGAGTCCGGATTAGGGAATAGGACTAACCCATAGATTAGAAGGGCCAAAACCTCCTCAAAATCCTGAAAATTCATATCATCCCAAAACAGTTGGGCCTTGTCTATCAAAAACTTAGCTAAAAAACTCTTGACTCCGCTTCTTGTTTCCCAATTGGATACCACGTCGGCCCGTTTCAGGTGCAAAGCTGAGGCAATGACTTATGGCTTAGGAACTTCTTATAGACCTGTGAAGGGTAACTGTTCAATAATGGGTATATTCAACAAATGAGAGAATTCTTCCAAGGTAGGCACCAACTGATAGTCTGGAAAGGTGAAACAGTGGTGCTTGGGATCAATGAACTGAAAGAGTACACTCATCATCTTTTCATTAAAGTTTGAAGT